CCGCTGCGGGCGTCGCACCAGGTGAACTGCCTCCCCGTCCGTCTCGGCCGGCGCCGGCGCCCCTGACAGCCGCGTCGTCAGATCCATCACGTCCCTGTGCGCCCGTGCCGTCCGCCGGACGTCCTCCAGAGAGAGGTCGTCACCCTTTAGCGCCGCCTCCCGGACCAGCTTCCTCTGTAGCTCACCTCGGCTGCCCAGGACGCATCGGTCTCTCAACTCACGGTCCACCTGCGCCGGCTCGTAGCCGCAGCGCAGGATTTGCGTCCGTAGTCTGCCCAGGAACTCCTCCAGACTCTCTTCCTGCTCCATTTTCATCCCTTGAAACTTTCCTCTTTCCGCCACCACATTATTCTTCGGCACCAGATACCGTGTTAGCTTCCTTTTCAGGCGAGCAAACTCGTCTTCTCCCTGTCTCTCGGCGTCCTCCTCAGGCAGTGAATCGCTGACATCGGCGAGGTCCGGGCCCACCAGGTGCAACAGGACTGCACACCGTCTCGCAGGCCCTTGAATGTCAACAGCGATCATATACCGCTCCAATGCCCGGAGCCACTTTTCAAAGTCCGTGCCTGGACGGTACGGCACCGCAGACACTATCTGCATCCCCGTTGGATCCATCGTGCCGCCGCCCTCTCACCAGCACGTCGTTTCTCCGGTCGGCTCGCCGCCGCTCCACCGTCGGCCCGCAGCCGCTCCACCGGCGGCCCGCAGCCGCTCCACCGGTCGGCCCGCAGCCGGGCGTCACCGCTCACACCGGCCGGTCACCGCTCACACCGGCCGGTCACCGCACACGCCGGTCGGTCACCGCACACGCCGGTCGGCCACCGCTCACGCCGACCGGTCACCGCTCACCGCGCCGCCCTGCGCCTGTACTTGGCGCTGCAGCTCCGGTTTCCCGCGCTTTTCTCGACGGGGGCGTCACGTGGTAGTGACGTCACACGCACGTCACCGCGCGCGCATGCGCACTCGCCCCACACCGCCCGGCCGCGCGCCAGCTTCCCGCCGAAATTGCCCGCTTCGGGGACCAGGCGCCTCAAACCGCATTGAGGCCCTCTCCGCCGCACCGATCGGCCAATCACACGCGCTACCACAGCTGCGCGTCACCCCCGGCCGACCAATCAGCGTGCAGGACGCCGACGCATGCGCCACGCACACCACACTGCCGAGGCATCATGGCCGCCACGAATTTCGGCGATCACATGGGAAACCCTGCCAGGACAACGGCCGCCGCGCGACAGGCACACTACCAGCAGCAGCGCGAAAATAAAAATACTAAGCAATACTAAGCACTAAGCATTCGTACTAAGCAACGTTTGCGCCCTCACCGTCCGTGGCCTGTCCGCCCTCGCTGACCACCGCGCACTGATCACTGGCCCGTTTCGCCATCACTCGCAATCACAGCTCCAAGGCTTCACCTTGATCTCATCCTCGTCGCCAGGATGTTATAACGTGAGCTCTTTATTCACAACCAAAGCCGCATTGCGTTAAACTTCCTAGAGCGCCAAACACCGATCGCTACTACCACAACCGCGCTCCGCGCGGGCCGGCGGCCGACTCCTCTCGAACCCCGCGTCTGCGCGCCGGCGCCGCCAATGGCGTCGCCAGGCCCCCGGGCAGGGGGGAGCAACTGGCGTCGCCAGGCCCCGGGGCAGGGGGGGAGCAGCTCGCGACACCACACACTTGTCACAAGACTTGTCTTCAAGTGGATAATGTATGCAATGTATGCATGGTTTTTGGAACCATGATGGTCTATGAGATGTATGGCTGTCTGGTCCCTTAGATTGAATTTGTTAGTCCAGTTTTGGGTGAAACCAGTTATTGGTGAAACGGATTATTACGGATATTTTTTGGAAGTTTGGCTGCAATACGGGCCATGGGTGGGCCGGATTCTGATATTCAAAGAAAGGCGGATAATGGGCGGATCTGGATATGACTTGCCGGATATGGGCCGGGCCGGATCCTAAAAAGCCTATCCGTGAAGTGCTCTAATTACAGTAGAATAGAGTCGTTCCTGGAGGGAGGGATTTGCATGCACCTGTACCGATATGTATGGTATGTTTGTCTCGGGTATCTATACTGCCTGATAAATCTACGATGTCTGAAATTAGCTGTGTCTGTGGACTATCTGACACGCATTCTGACATTGGGCAAGTGTTTGAGTGGCAAGTGGGCAAGACCCTTGTGTCTGTGTTATGTAGCACGCAGTGCGTCCACCTCTGACGCTGGACTCGTGTCTGCCGACAGCGCCAACAGCACCATCTCGCCGGTGGAGACGTAGCGGTACCGCTGCCGACAGGTGCGTCACCGATGGAGTGGTCTGCACCGGTCCGTACGTATCCGCGACGTAGTTTGTGATTTTCCTTGTAAGTGTGTTATAGTCTGTCTAGGTTTAGTTTGACGGCTCACGGTGATTCCAAAATAACAATGTCACCTCGGTTTATCCCAATCTGCTATGAAATGTGATAGCGCTGGCACGGATCACCTAATGTGATCACCTTATCCCGGCGGCCGCTGGGCCTCCGCGCCACCCGCCGGCCGCTGGGGGGGGGGGGGGGGCATATAGTTGCCCCCCCCTTTACTTCTGCGACGATATCGTCGCAACGCGAAGAGATAGAGAAGCGAAACTTTGCACACATCTTCCTGAATACCTAGCCGAGGTTGTGTCCAAATTTGGTGTCGATCCCATTTGAAATGACGTCACAGTGACGTCATAAGTGAAATTATAGATTTGCGACTCTCATATTCCTCACGATACATCAGATATATGGGACCGAATATAAAGGGTCGATTATTGGTCAGAAACTAGATGGAAGTGTAGTTAGATGTTTTAGGATGACAGCAGGTGCTGTCTAGTTCATTTACAGTTGAGTTTCATGCTCAGCGTCATCAGAAACGGTCCTTTGATGGTTTTAGAAGTAGAATAAACTTAAGTAAAAGACATAAAACCGCGTTCATGAGGTTGTGATCATTATTCAAGTCAGACCGGTTTCGTTCCACAGTGAGAACATCTTCAGTGACAATATAAACAGATATGTAAGTTACAAGTTTTGATGGGATGATAACCCTGACACGATATCGAAATTATTTGCACACACATATGCACACATGCAAAATTCAGTAAGTACACTTCTTCCAGGTGGAGAATTGTTCTACTTAATGATGACGACGCGCGACGGTGATACAAATGCACAGTGCACATGAGAGCAGTTGCACACCATTGGATACACACATCATAGAGCTAAGCGGTGACATTGAGAGGATATGCCGATGAAATGTCGTTTATTTTTGGTCGCAACCGAAAGATGTATAGTGATTCTAAAATTCTTAAATCAGGGAACGAGCTGTTCGTACCAAGAATTTCAAAATTATCAATCGTAAACGGAGCGTCACATGATAACGCATGATCTCTAATGGACGAAACTGCTGGGGTTGATGACATCAGTCCGGTACGAGGAGATCTGCCTTGGTGTTGAGGAGATCTGCCTTGTTCCGTTACAAGGACAAACTGCCCAAGCCGAGTCGCTCTGGTGTCATTTACAAATTTAGTTGCGCCTCATGCCAGGCGTCATACGTTGGTTCCACGTATCAACGTTTATTCACCAGAGTGGCTCAACACCAAGGCAGATCTCCTCGTACCGGACTGATGTCATCAACCCCAGCAGTTTCGTCCATTAGAGATCATGCGTTATCATGTGACGCTCCGTTTACGATTGATAATTTTGAAATTCTTGGTACGAACAGCTCGTTCCCTGATTTAAGAATTTTAGAATCACTATACATCTTTCGGTTGCGACCAAAAATAAACGACATTTCATCGGCATATCCTCTCAATGTCACCGCTTAGCTCTATGATGTGTGTATCCAATGGTGTGCAACTGCTCTCATGTGCACTGTGCTTTTGTATCACCGTCGCGCGTCGTCATCATTAAGTAGAACAATTCTCCACCTGGAAGAAGTGTACTTACTGAATTTTGCATGTGTGCATATGTGTGTGCAAATAATTTCGATATCGTGTCAGGGTTATCATCCCATCAAAACTTGTAACTTACATATCTGTTTATATTGTCACTGAAGATGTTCTCACTGTGGAACGAAACCGGTCTGACTTGAATAATGATCACAACCTCATGAACGCGGTTTTATGTCTTTTACAGAAACGGTCCTTATCGGAAAACGACAAAACTTTATGACGTCACTGTGACGTCATCTTAGGTACTACAACCACCAAACTTTCCTCAAACATTGCCTAGGTATTCATTTGAAGCTATGCCAAGTTTCACGTTCGTAGCTCATCAGGTTTCGGAGATATTTCACAAAACGTAAAGGGGGGGGCAACTTTATGCCCCCCCCCCCAGCGGCTCGTGGGTTATGTGATCCGTGGTGCTGGCGAACGCCGGTGGTTTACGGAAAGGTAGGCCGACCGCAGCACTCCCGTGTGCGCCGGCACAGTCTATGTTTCCAGGCTGACGCGATGTCGCTCGGCGAGCCAGGTGCCTGGCTGTGTATGTGTCTGTGTGCGTGTGAGCCGCTGTATGCTGTCTGACACTGACCGGCCGTGCCTGGTCACCCCTCCCTTACCCTACTGGAGTCGAGGGGTCGTTACTCCTCACATCCTCTCACGCTGGAGATCCGCGGGGCCATCATCTCTCCCATCCCTACCCCGTGGGATCCGAGGGCCTCATCTCCTTCGTCCCTACCCACTCGGGAACTGGCGCCCATCAGCCCAACACCATCGCGGGATATTGCGCTGGGCCGCGGAGACAGCCGTTGCTTGTCATTATAATATCTCCTAGAGAAACCTTCCTGCGTAGCTGAGCAGCCTAATCTTGATGAGAGCTGGATACTTCACGCATGTTTTGAAGCGGCGATGGCGACGATATTTGGTCGCACGATGCATAACGTTAGATTGCACCGGTGATGTCTCATCTGTTTTCAGTCCCCAGCGATGTTTCCTACTTTATTCGGCCGTGTCGCCCTGACGGCCGCCCTCCCCCATGTTCCAGCGTCTGGAGCGTGATCTGGACGACACCCACCTGAGCTCGCCGTGGGCCGACAGTGGCGCCCTCAAACGCCAGTTCCACGGACTCAACAACGTCTCCTGGGGCCCGCGCTAGGCGCCCGACCGCCTCCCTGCCGGGCTCCCGGATCGTTTACGTTCTATGTGATATCTTCTGCCTTTGCTGACGAGCCGCGCGCCGGTCTGCTGGCTGTGCGCCCCTCTGCGCCGCAGACTGCTCCGGAGGCGGCCCCGCGCAGCCGGGCAGCCGCCGACCCGCCCCCCGACTCCTGTGATACGGAGCGGGCCCGGGCCCGGGCGCGACCAGCTGCTCTGGCGCTTCTGCGCTTCTATTCCAGTTGTTAGAATCCTTCGAATTTCCCCTCTGTTCGTTCCTTTTATTTGTTGTAACGGTATCACTCTCAAATGTTTTTGTTTTGCATCTTACTTCCAGTCTCTTTCTTCTTAGTCTTCTCGTTCAATTCGTGTATGATCTGCTCTTTCCCTGTCTTCTTTCCCATTCCCCTTCTCTTTTTACCTTTTCCTGCCCTTTTCCCCTCTCCCTTGCCTCTGCCTCGCCTCCCACCTGCCTCAGCGCCTTCAGCTGATCTCCACAAATCGTGCGCGGCCGCCCGGACAGCCGGCCGCGTCAGACATATCTAGTCAGCGGACGGCGGCGGCGCCGCGTCGTTCAGTCTTTTCTCACAACTGCGCACCGCGTTTTCCAGTCACTTCTCGAGCGTCCCTAGACGGCGCTCCTCGCTCCGGGAGCGGCCAGTTCAGGCCGGCGGGCTGCCGCGCCGCGCCAGAGCCGCTTCTCAAATCGGCACTCACGCGCTGCGCGTCAACATGCATTTTCCATGAGCTAATGTATGGCGCGTGTTTTGCCTCCATTCTCCATTATCAAATAAGGTTTTAATAAAGTGTTCGCTTTATGAGTTGATTGTCTTTGAATTGGTTCGTTTCCATTCCCTGCCGCCTGCAGAGTCACGCCGCTTTGGAAACTTTGCACTTAGCTCTGGATGTCATCACCAAACAGTTAGTATTCGATATTTGGTCTTTATTGGAGATACAAGTGTACACAGCACCAGTGGCCTCCTCGAGTGCTATGGAGGTTAAACATGACATTACCAGACGAGCCCCCGAGTCATTTTGCAACAGCACATGATTGTAATATTGGGACGGTGGTTTGTGGTGGTAAAATGAAAACGGTCGATTTTACATGGCCAGATAAAAACACTGCTACTGCTCACATTCACCAAATATAATAATTACATAGTAAATAGCACGATCCGACTAAAGTAAATACCATAAAAATTAAATGAGATTAAAATATGAAATTGGCCCACGGCCTTTAGGAATCCTCTTTGACGTCAAGCCAAATTAAAGTAACGAAAGGCTACAAATAACACAATATTTATGCTTTCCTAGTTTTTAACTAGTTTTAGACGCTTCAATTCAACCCTCACATAATATCGTTTCCAATAAAATATCAGCCGTTCTAAAATTGATGCGTGGTCGCCGTCTAGTGACCCTGATAGCTCTGGTACCTAAAATAGCTGCGTTGACTTGTCTCCCAATCTCGGTCCGGGAGCCAGTTTAGGGGCGAAGGTAAAACATCCCCCTGAACAGGATTGCTGACAGCCACAGTAAACATTGGGACAACAGCCGGACAGACAGACATACTGACACGTGGGTTCGGACGCGGCAGATTCCCGTCCCACGGCGCGGGCGACCCCGCCCGTCTACCTACCAACGCACCTAACTGACCACCAGGCACAGCCAACGCCGGCTCTAGGACTCAACTCCAATCCACGGCAATGAACACTGGCAAATGCTAATCCTTGAGACTGTACCCACGTTACCGGCATGTCGTATTCCATAGCTAAAACAACGTAAATGCGGACCTGAAACGTCGTGACTCGGATATAGGTATTTCATCTGAAAACAGCAACTAAAACGGTGCTACTGTTGGGCTGGCGAGGCCGTATGATTGCATCACCAGACACGGTCTGGCCTTCACAACTGGCTGGCGCTAACGCGTTTCCCTGTCTGCGAGTAATGAGCTGGCCGGCCGCGGCGCGCCTGTCTCAGTGTCTCAGTGCCTCGGTGTCTCGCAGCGCGGAGCCGCACACACAGCACACGACACAGGACAGTGGGACAGTCTGAGACGCGGCCCGCGGCCGGCACATGCGACAACACACCGAGTCCCGCCCCGAGTCCGGCCCCGGTCCGCCGGCAGACGCTATCACGTCACTCCGTAGTCCTGGCGGGTGAACCCGGCCATCAGCGACTGGGGCAGCGAGCTAAAGTACTCGTCACCGTCCAACTCCACCTGCCGGCAGAACATAGACCAGCCATCAGGGACGGAACATAGACCGGTTAACAGAGACAGAACACAGACCAGCCTTCAGCGACTGGGGCAGCGAGCTAAAGTACTCGTTACCGCCCAGATCCACCTGCAGAGTGTACATAAAGTGATTAAAGGTAAAGGGTTAACAGGGCAGAACAGAGAAAATGACGTAAAACAAACCGAAGTATCTTCGGGGGGATGAGACACGGCACAGTACCGGCGCGTGACAAACTGCATGCTTGGTTGCTGCGAGACCGCACTTTGGCAATGGTGATATGAGGGAATACTTCAAATAACGGGTGTCGTGAACCCGTACCTTTACGAAGTAAAGCTAAGGCGCCGTGAAGTTACACTACATACATTTACGAACAGGTGGTCGTCTAGGTGAGACCGTACCTTTACAAATGGATGGTCATCCAGCTGCTGGGCCGAGGCGCGCAGCTTGGGGTCGTGCACGAAGCACAGCTCCAGGAAGTGTCCGCCCTCGGCGGAGAGTTTCTCGGGGACCGCCGGGCTGCCGCCCATGCCCACCCGGAACATGATCTGGTACGTGTCCTCCAGGTCGGGGAACGGACGCTGTGGAAGAGTCACATTATCAGGTCGGGGAACGGACGTTGTGGGACGGCCAGGGCGTCAGACGGGGGACAGTTGGAGCGTCACACGAGGACGGGTCAATGTTAGACGGATGGCGGCGGGGTGGAACGGGTCGAGAGGAAGGGGACGCGTTTCTCGTTACAAAGATACAAGGTCGCGACGTGGTCGAACATGTAGGAAAGGTGCGAGGAAGGAATAAACCGTGTCTCACTGTTGGCGATCTCGGGGAGGGAGCGGTACCACGGCATCCCAAGAAAGGAGCCGTGGGTATCTAGACATCTCGGGAGGGAGAGCTATGACAATGAGCGACGGAGCCATACCTTTCCGGTGGCCATCTCCACCACACAGCAGGCCAGTGACCAGATGTCGGCGGCGCGGCCCTGACCCTCGCCGCTCGAGCTGGTGTACACCTCCGGGGCCATGAACGCTGCCGACAGACGTCCGGTCACTGTCAGTGGAGTAGCGGCGGAGAGGCAGACTACGGGACCTATCACACAGTCACAGCCCAGTCGGTCGGGTAACGGCGGACACACCTAGCAGCAACAAATAAAACGAAAAAAGCGAATTCTGAATAAATATTAAATAACCAGATGCTTCCTCACAATATTGTTATTGAGCGAAAGTTTGATGGTGGGTTACATCTCATAGTTAAGGCCATTTCAGACAGGGATGCGGAGTCGGAGTCGGAGTCGGAGTCGGAGTCGCCCGGAGTCGTGGTAGCGAGCCCGGAGTCGGAGTTGGAGTCGGAGTCGACCAGGCTGCCTTGATTCCGACTCCGGGAAGCTTATTAAAATTTGTGGCGTTGCTTGCTGGAAATAAATTTATATCTAGAAATAAATTTTCTGGAAATAACTTTCGGAAATGTTTTGTTTTGTTTCCTCAACAATAACAACTGCTAGCCTTTATATTATAATTTTATAGCCGCATACTTTCAAGGCCATCAGCTGTCTGCTAGTTTGTTTACGTTTGGAAAATCAGAAGACCTTGGAAAACTTCCGGCCGCCTCCGACGCTGAATGCAACGGACGCCGGACGCTTCGGTTTCGCAATGGTTTGTAATGTTAATGATTGCGTCGTATTTCGCATCAGACCCGGAGTCGGAGTCGGAGTCGGAGTCGGAGTCGCAGTCGGAGCCGACCAGGAGCCCGGAGTCGGAGTCGGAGTCGGAAATCGCTACCACGACTCCGCATCCCTGATTCAGATACAACCCTCGTCAGAGGCGAGTGCGACGTTCCACCCTGCACAGTGGGAGAGCTTTACTCAGGTTGATTAGATGGTCCGGCTCCCCACCATTCCCCTCACACTGTGTGGTGAGAGTCCTTACATACCTGGTGTGCCGACCAGTCCTTTGACCTCGCCCTGCATGGTGGTGTGGGCCACTATCTTCACCGAGCAGCCAAAGTCGCCCAGCTTCAGACAGCGGCACTCGTCCGTCAGGAATATGTTGGCGCCTGAGGAAGATAGAGTGGGAGGTGGATTAGAGTGGCTCGAAGTGAACAATACACGGTACAGAGCAACTGCGAACCGTAAAGGAATTCACTGCACGCCTAAATTAATCGACGTTTACATTTTTTCCAGTCCGAAATGATCGTTGTCTAACATGCTTCACATCGAAATACGTCAACATAAATGAGTCGTAAATTGTTGGCAGAGTTATCATCTGTCAGGCCAGATCATCTATCTACGTTTCGATAAGTAACGAATCGTAGTTGAAATATGATAGAGCTATTTCCGAGTCTGTCGAAAACATCACTGAAACAGCCGCTCTAAACACTTGACGAAATACAAACACGCTCCGTGGTCAATTAGTGGTCATATCCGACGTATCACCAGCCGAAAGCACATTAATTACCGAATCAAAGCTGGTCGGCGCGAGCCGGCCGGGCCGACATAAACAGCCCACAGCGTGGTACGATGATAGATGACACGGCGTCCGGCGGCGTCCGGCGCCAGCGGCCGGCCGCCGCACGGCGCCGTATGTCCCCGCCCGTCGCCAGCCCAGGTTAGCCCGCCGCCCCCTCCAGTACGGCTCTAGCCCACCTTAGCCCACTGCCTCTTCCAGCCTGTCTCCAGTCCAGCTCAGCCCATTACCCTCTCCAGCCCGCCTTAGCCCGCCCCCCGGCACTGTCTCTGTTCTGTGATTGCTGGCACGGGCATGGCACTGGGCAGACAGGGTAGAACGGGAATCCGAAATACCTATATAAAGTCCGGCGAGTAAAGGTGACAAGTGGAGAGCTGGCAGCAGCCCGAGCTTATAGTAAAGACCGGACTTTTAGAGGAGAGTGGCCTAGCATGTCAGGTCGAGACCTAGACAACCGGGGTGGTCGTAATGCCTTCACCCTACGCAACAAGGATTGTGTACTGCATTCTAGCATGACTCGATTAGCCTTACGAGCCGCGGAGCAAAAAGGCCATGACTCAGTCGATTATCATATTATTACATCGTTATCATCGATGTCCATGTTATACGATGTAAACTGTGGACTGACATTTGATAGGGTGGCGTGTGACGTGGGCCAGTCTGGAGCGCGACATGGGCTAGCACTCACAGTATGTGACAGCTCTCGTAATGATGCTGCGGTGTAAGACATGACAGCGGACGATATGAGTAATCCTCCGACATGGCAACGCTCGTCACAAGCTAGCTTTTGATGTCTCGGTGTACGATGCGCTTTTACCACTGAACTTTGGTGCCACGGTATATGCGTTTTTACTGTGTGCCCGGCCAATTCAAATACATTAGCCGGAGAGGTGTGGTGTAAACTGGTGTAAACAAACTGACACGGTCAAAAATGTTAAACCAGTATGCGCCCAACCAATATTTCGGGATAGCTTCGTTCAAAACTCGGCTAAGAGGTTCGGTCTAGAAAAAATGATTTATCTTTGGCAAACCGTAAAACGTGAACTCTCTCCGATGTCGTGGTGTGTGTGCTGTGAACTGACCTATGATATCTCGGTGCATAATGTGGAGTAAGAAGAGTAACCTTTGATGTTCCGACGTATGCTGTCGTTTACCTTACCTTTGATATCCCGGTGTATGATGTGGTGGTCGTGCAGACAGGTGATGGCCGACAGGAGCTGTTTGGTGTAGCGGCGGATCAGGTGCTCGGGCAGTCCACAGTCGACAGAGGCCGACAGACTCTCCAGCGTCCCCTCGCCGCAAAACTCCATAAATATAAACATCTCCTCCTGCAGCACAGGCGCACGCACATGTCAAAATAAACATACAAATCCCACATCAAATGCCACAAAAAACAACCACTTATGACTGCAACATGTTAAGCCCTAAAGGCTAAACAAGTCAGAAACAAGCCATTTCCAACATCAAATCATTTCATGCTGTCATCGGCTACTGTCATCCTGTCGTTTTAGGTTTTCACACAATCAGACAAGATTCCAGCTGGCTGTCGCGCGCCGTGCGGCACGTAACCCGGGCAGCGGCGGCAGCGACGGACCGTGTCCGGCGGCCGCCGCCCGGAACCCGGTACACGTGTATACCAGCCATCAGTCATGTGCGCGGCATGTCCCCCCGCCGAGAGCTGTTTATGCTGGCTTAATCTCGGCCGCCGCCGACCCGCGCCCTGCTGCCAGAGCCGGCCGGCGTCGTGCCCCGCCCCGGCACCACACGACCGGCGGGCCCCGCCCGGGCTCCACACGACCGGCGGGCCCCGCCCGAGCTCCACACGACCGGCGAGCCCCGCCCGGCACCACACGACCGGCGGGCCCCGCCCGGGCTCCATACGACCGGCACCCGGTATGAGTCGGCGCCCGCCTGAAACCCTCCTACTGAGCGACGGACATCACCTCGGCGCCGTCCCCCGGTGTGAGCCGGATTCCGCCCCGGCACACCCCGACCGACCGATGAACACCTACTCACCCGGTGTATCTCGACGCCGAAGTACTTGACCAGGTGTCTGTGGTTGATGCCCTCGAGTATTTTCAGCTCCTCGGCCACGGAGCGGATGGTGCGGTGGTCGTTGGGCTGCAGGTGGATCTCCTTCATGGCCATCAGGTCGCCCGTCTTGTTGTTGACGGCCGTGTACACCCGGCCGAACCGGCCCTGACCTGCCACAAGGAAACAGACATGCTATCAGGGATCGGCGACGAACGAGGGAACACGGGAGATCAGGAAAAACAGACTTATAAATGGGACGTCAGAGTTTTGTTGTTGGATGAGTCAGATGAGCAGTCAGACACGTATCAGAGGCAAGAATGTATTGCCGATTCAAAGGCACGGCAAATGACTTGGGGATATGACAAGGCAGAAAACAACACGACTGATGAACGTGTCATTCTAGCGATACCTTCACAACGTGCTAGTGCTAACAATAACTGAAGACAGCAATATTGCAAACAATGAGCGATTCTAAGGGCTGACTTCCAAGCCTGCAAAGTTAGGTAAAATAGGGAGTCCTGCGACCCGATTTGAACTCAGCCAGCCAGTGGGCTTGAAATGGAACACACTGATTCGCTCCCAAGTTGGTCAAGGGCGGAGAGCGTTGGCGGCAGTGTTTGGTTTGCACGTTCTTTTCGAGCCGGTCACTCGCCAGCGCTGTCATCTATTCGGCCCCGGCCCAGAGCCAAGCGAAAATACGATGAAATTGATGACTGGCCTCCCAACTATTCCAGTCACCACCCTGTTTATTTTGAAAAGATCTCCGGTGAGGTGATGCAACCAAAGGCAGGAATGACGAGCAATGCAGCTTAAAATTAGCGGACTTAACTCAACACGGGTCACAGGTTCAATGAAACACAGGTCCTACTCCTGTAAAGACAGCGCCACTGGACCACCCGCTGGTGTTTCCCAACTGCATCCAGCCTACTGCAGATGCATACGAGGTATACGTCTCGTGAAAAGCAGAAAGACGACTACGTTCGAGCCCGGCAACTAGGCTCATCCAGCTTATGTTCATCACGATAAACTCCCTAGCTGGTCGTATCCCCCGTACAGTCACATGACACCTGCAATTAAGATACAGAGCAATAATTAGTGACCAGAGAAGAAACACGCAGCAAGCAGCGTGAAAAATCACTGAACCCACTCGAACAGCAGACTCGCAGAAAGTTTTGAAGGAGATAACATACGATCGCCTGTCGTCGCCAGCGGTATCACAGTCTGAGCATTGTCTTTCTGAATGTGCGTTTATTTCGCGTCCGCGATTCTAAGTGGCTCTTATAGTTCCTGCCAGCACATTGACGGCCTGGTAGTGCCGTCCTTCAGCTTCCAAGGTCTCAGGCGTCAATACGACTTTACTACAAGACGAGAATAAGAAAATTCGCTATCCTCGTCCCCATGGGACGATAACGTGGATCGTTCATAATCTCATCATCATATACGAAGAAAGTTATCATCGCAAACACACAAGAACTGGTGGGCGTCACCGACCACACCATCGAGCGGCAGTGGGTGGGTGCAGCGTCACCCCTTTCTCCGCAGACGACCCCCGCTAGATCGCCCTCTCCTCCGCAGGCAGCCCTCGCTAGATCGCCCTCTCCTCAGTCAGCCTCTGCGGCGGACCGCCCCCTCCCCCGTCGGCAGCTCGGTTGGATCCCGCCCCTCCCCGATCGGCAGCCCCGCCGGACCGCCGCGCCGCGCCGCTCGCCGTCAGTCTCGCACGATGGCGGTCCCTGTGCGGTGGCTGCTGGCGGCCGGCCTGGCCGCGGCGGTCGCGGCGCGCCCCGAGTTCCCCGACCTAACACTGGTCCTACAGCCGGACGAGGAGCTCGACTGGAACCAGATCACTCGCTGGATGGAGCAGGTGAGACCCAGAGTGGGACGGCGTCCGGCCAGTCCCGGCCAAAGGACACACCGCACCTATACACGACCAAAGGACACATCGGACCGACGAACCGATACACGACCAAAGGACTCATGGTACCGAAACAACCAAATGCTAACAACTTATGAGACGCTGCTTTCCACATTATGAGCTGAAAGGGGATATACAAATGACCAGCCTGCCGGCGTATTAAAACAAACTTACCAGTCCTACAGTGATTTTGCGGATAAACAAAACAGCGATGGCTTGTTCAAACAGATGTCCAACACTTTTTTGCCGTGTAGGTTCAAATGGCAAGTCAAGGCAGAATGATGCCTAATTGGGAACATCAGTCGGTTATTCCGGCCCAACAAATAATTCTAGCTTCATGATTAAAATGGATCCTAGAGTGTTGTGGAAAGGTGTTGAGGAAAAAGATTGTTATTTGACAACTGTACAGCACAAAACATGCCACAGCAAAGCTTCTCATTACAATGGCCGGTGCCGTAAAGTATGGCACCACGGCGTCAGTTTCACCAGTGCGCTGAGCATTAGGCTGCTGACTGACACCCGTTGTGCCCCTCCCACCGCTACCGCTGCGGAGTAGAGTCGGTTTTCTGTGGACGCCGGCTCGCAACACCACGCACTGCCGCCCCGGCCGGTCGACCCGATCATCACCAGCAGAGCAGCGTCTCCACGGCATACGCAGCAGGACCAGCCGGCGGTCCCGTCCGCCGCCCCGACCGAGCCGCCGCCGGCTCGGACCCCGCCGGGCCCTCAGTGGCGGCCCGTGGTGCCCGGACCAGCCCTGGTGCCCGGCGCCCCGCCGCCGTCCGCGCCGGCCTCGTGGCGGCCGCAGTGGCCCCAGCTGGTGCCGCCGGCGGCGCTGGTGCCGCAGCCGCCGCCGGCGCTCATCCAGCGCGAACAGGCGGCGCTGCGGCCCACCTTCCCGGAGCTGCAGCGCGGCGAGTCGCTGCTACCGGCGGACGCGCCGGGCGCCCACCAGCCGGAGCCGACCACTGAGCCGCCGCCGGCCGCCAGCGCCGAGCCCAGCGCCGCCCCAATCATGTTGCTGCCGACCGACGAGAGGGAGCGCTACCAGCCGCCCGAGATAGAGGACTACGATCAGCAGCCGCCGCCGGCGCAGCTGCGCGCCGCCGGCTCGCCGCCCGTCACCGCCGCCCACAGCCCGTCAGCCAGGGACCGCAGCGAGCGGCGGCCTTATCAGCAGGCCCCGCGGCCCACCCAGAGCCCAGAGCAGCCGTATCAATACACCGACCAACTGCCGGCTACACACTCCGCCCAGCCACTGCCCAAATACTCGGCCCAGAACGCCGCACAGCAAGCGGCTGGAAACCAGCCCCAGCAAGCACAGCAGCAGCAGGCTCAATACCCTACCCCAAAACCATCAGAATACCCCGTCCCAGAACCGACCAAACGATCACAATATTCCGTCCCGCAGCCGGCTGAATACTCTGCCCCACAACCCACTAAACAGTTTCAATATCCAGTCCTGAAACCAACGCAACACCCTGTCCAACAACCGCCCCAACAACCCGTCCCAAAGCCTTCAGAAAACCCTCTCGAACCGCCGGCCGAGTATCCCATCCATGAGCAGCTCGAGTATCCCGCCCCGAGGCAGCCCGAGCAGGAATACCCTGTCCAGAGGCAGCCGGAGGCCCTGAGTCAGCCCGGCCCTCAGGATACCCAGTTCCTGTCTGACGAGACCGGCCCACAGAGTTCCGAGTATGGGGACGGCGCCGTTCTGACCGCGACCGGGGCCCCGTCTCCGCTGGCGCCGCGGCTGCTCGCCCAGGAGAAGACCCCGGCGGCGTCCGTGGCGGACGGAGCCGGGGGCGGGGGCGGGTCCATGCCACCCGGAGCGCTGGCCGTGCTGCTGCAGCGACTGGAGGAGCGGATGGTGGCCGGAGAGACCCAGATGCAGCGCCACACCACACTGCTGAGGACCGCCCAGCACAGGTAACCAGCCCGACATCAGGAGCAACAGGCTGAGTCAGATAGGGAGAATGTCAGTGTTCAGGCCAGGCCCATTAAGGACGCAACTAAAGTCTGTTGTGAGCACTGGCGCCACGCCTACCGCCGCCGGAAATGACAGTCTCTTCAGTGCTAGTTGCCACGTTGATATATAAACCATGTCAGTGACCTTTGTTACGCGGAGATATATACAGACGCTACCGGTACTAAGCAGCTACTACGAGCCTGGCCGGGTGACTGTGTGTCTGCTGGGAGCTGTGGATATCTGGGTGTTGACTGGGACGTGCCGCTGACCTGACCTGACCTGACCGTCCCCCACAGTCAGCGTAAGGCGGAGGTAGTAGCCGCTGAGAGCCAGGCAGCCATCCGCAGCGAGTTTCAGCAGCTCAACACCCGACTGGACGGGATGCAGTCGGATGTCGGAAGGGTGAGGAACCGAGGAGCGGGAGCTGTGCGCCTTCGACACGGGCCGGGACACAGCAGATAATTGTGCTGAGCATGCAATTCACACAGGATTCTGAGATGGGCCAATCAGAGTAAGCGAATTCTGAGATCATCGATCAAACAGCTCTACATGCAACCCGTTTCACATTCCTGGGATCGATTTGGGCTTAAAACAGTCTCAAAACCTCCAGACGGCGCTGACGTAAAGCAGAGTCAGCGGCCGGCCGGCGCCCGTCCCTCGAGGGCCGGCTCCGGGAGCGGAGGCGGGCGGCGGCCCGGGCCGGTGCCGTCACCGGCAGCCCTCAGCGCTGCCACGTGTTTACTAACGCTGATAGGGCGAGACCGCCACCAAAAACAGACCCTCCACACCGCACATGGTAAAACGATGCACCGTGCGGTGTAAATGGGTTGGAGGCAGATGGTGAAAACAAAACTCAGTTTCGAGAGACAGCCGTCGTAGGCTGTACAGTTGCGCTGTGCGATTCGTGGGACTTTGGGATAACCCACGGGCTCTGTACGCACAGAGTGGGTAGTACCCACGAACTTCACAAACTGAACATTCAGGGTCACCGGGTATAAATGTATTGATATGTGCTACATTGATTACCACCAAAAGGCAAACCTAGCTTCCCGACTTCTGAGTAGCTCAGATATGGGTTGCCGGAAATCTACGTAAATATTTGGTACCTATAGCCTTGACCAACTTTGGTCGCATGCCACCTGGAGATTAGCCTATATGGCAGCAAGAAGCACAACTAGCCAAATTTGCATCAACGGTGGAGCCATTGAGTTTCGGCCCAGTATAATTTCCGAGCCATGTTCCAGGTGACCTTTGTGATGTATTGTGTCCTTGTTTTAAGTAGCCTC